GTCAAAGATGAACTGCTCGTTCGAGACGAGGTTGAGGCGATCAACTTCGGTCGGTGCGAGCCGGAGACTTGCGACGAGTTCCGCCACAGAGGACTGTGCTGCCACGGAAGAGACGAGGGAGAGTGCTGAGATAGTCGTCAAGGAAAACATCGTGATCGATAAGAATGATAATAGGGAGTGAGTATGAATAGAAGAAGCGAATGATCCTGCAAGAAGGAAGGGAGAAAGGAAAAAAAAAGCAGGCGAAAAGAAGAAAAATAAAGAAAAAGGAGCCCGGACGTGAAGTGGTGAACAGGAATGCGAGCAACGCCTTATATATGCAGCAGCCGAACAACCTGATCGCCGTTGAATGTGCGAAGGCCGTGCATTGCCTGTTGTGATCAGGAGATGGATGGGCCTGACAATGATACAGGTGTGATGGAGGTTGGCACAGCGCGTGTGATGGGAATTCACCCGCTCATAACCCGCTCGATCCGCGCGGAACTTTGGTCTGCACACCCACGCAAACAGGAGCGGCACTTATGCATACATCGGCTTCAAGTCGGCGATCTAGACAGTGAGAGGAGAGTGAGAGGTCTGGCAATGCGACGTCGACACAAGGATCGGACATCAGTCAGGACAAACAACGGTCGTATTGTTAGGACAGCGGCCTGCGATATCTGCGCGCCCACACAGGATTCGGACCAGACGCGCGGGATGGGAACGCGTCACTGCGTGCGTTTCAAAACCGAACAGCGTCGGCGCCGACGCCAGACGCCAGACCTGAGACGCCAGTTCACTTCCGCGGATCCAGGATACTTACTCATGCACTGTTTGACAGAAACACGATAGTCTGTCGGCGAAGGGGATGAGTAATTCCAGTCACTTTGGCACGACGCGATCCGATCAATACATACTTGGCCTGTATCAACGCCGCCCAAAGTCAGGATTTCCCCACTCTCCTTCCGTGCGCGCCGCGCCCAACCGTGAGCGCTTGGGCGCTGCACCATGTTTCCTTCACATCTCCATCGAGAGCTCAATTTCAAAGCCTCATGGCGCGTATACGGTATCTGGAATCAAGTCGTGTTAGGACTCGGGATAAAGCCCAGCCAGAGTTCCAATATGCACGCCGACTCGATGGCTACCAGAGTCTAGGGGTCAAAAGGGACCTCCAGTTCGCTGTTACACAATATATTGTGAGAAGGAGCGTAGCCAATGACAGTCGGTGCAAGCCGAAGACTGGTCGCGCTAATGAGTGACCGTCCCTCTCCGCCACTGTGCTCTTAGACGGCTTTGATCGCTCCGGTTATCTCGTTCGGAAGGGCCAGAGACTACTTTTCAGCGTGATTGACTTGCATGGAGTCGAATGATGAGAAGAAAAGCGCCAGACGTCCTCCGTGCTCGACGCTCGTGGTCGTGTTCACTGGACAAGCGGCTTCAAGGCCCAAGGCGCGGTCCGCGGGAGGGCGCGTGTCGCGATTTCGGACCCGACCCGGGCCGAGTACTAACCCTAACCCTGATTGCAGTCGTCTATCAATTACCTGTCTGGAAGCTTGCCGTAGACAAGAGTCATGCAGCATGCTTGGCGAGCTCTACTTGATATTGCATTTTTCGTAGTACACAGAGAAAACCAGGTAATGCCTGCTATAATACTGGAGATTCACGCACAGACGGGAATCGCAGAAGAAACCATGGATAAACCGTAACAGAAATGAGCGGAACGCGGACCCACAGCGCCGCGAGCGGGTATGCAATGATAAGGTATGTGCAAAGACAGCATGCGTCCAAGGCCTGAAAGGAAGGCGATCGTGGACGTTCAAGAAGGGGGTGACGAATATACCGATAGCTGTAGCGCTAGACTGACGACATGCGAACACATTTGGGAGTCATGTCAAAAGGGTCTTCATCCCGACCAAATGGCCAAGTTGGCACCACGCACATCTCCTGCATCGGAGGTGAGTACAAGCCTAGTCTGTATAAATCAAGAGAATTGGCGAACCTCGATTGCACATGCCGGCCGGCACTTCACCCAAACACTCCAATCGAGCCATGCCATCAACTCGCTTGTCTCGCGCTCGACAACAACCAACTTCTGCACCGCCACTTCGAGTGTGGCAGTTTCAACATCGTAAGCAGCATCAAACATGATGGCAAGGCGGCGGCATATCTCGCGAAGCGTCTCGCCGACGGCGTTGTGAATGAGTTGTTCTTGAGGTGTGAGCAGGGTCGTTGGGATGGCGCGCAGCTGCGTGGTCGTGCAGCGTTGCACGACCGGGGCGAGCCATGCGCGTGATCCATCCTCAGAGGGTACGTCGTCAACAGTGAAGTAGAGGACAAGCATGGTGAGCAGCTGGGCTCGGACAGATGCGGCCTTCTCCAGGACGTCGTACTTGGCCGATCGCAGAGTGTGAGAGAGTAACTCGAGGCGCTGAGAGTACCTCTCAATCACAACGCGCGTGACGCTGGCCCAATCGACACCACTGGTGGCACCCGACGTACGCGTAAGCACCTCCTCGAGTTCCTTCATCTTCGCATCTGCATCGGCAACGGAGATCCCCTTGATACGGTGCCGGATATGTGGGAGACCGCGGCGAGCCTCGACGAGCGACTGAAGCGCTGGGTCGTACAACGAGACGAACCCGGTGAAGTCAGGGCGGACCCGCGTCTCACCCGGCGCAGCATCGTGCCACTTGCCCGCAACACGCGCTTCGCTGAAACCGGCGCTAGGAAGACTGCCTTTCCAGCCCGCAGGCGGAGTGGCAGGTTCGCCTCGACCGGGGCCACCCGGTCCACCCGGTCCTCGCCGCGAAGGCTCGTCGGACAACTGCACCATGTCGCCGCTATCCTGAGAGTTTTGGGGCTCATCCAAAGGGTTTGCCGCAGAGGCGTCGTGGGGAGGTGAAGGCGGGTGCGGGAAGTCTGACGGACGACGCGATGGGCGGCCAAACTTGCTACCGTCATCGGAGTTTGGGCGGCGGTGCGCAGATTGGCGCCGGCTATTGTCGAGTTCATCGCTATCAGGCCTATGCTCCTGCCCTTGGTACTCGTGATGGCGATGCGTATGCTCGCTGGAGGAAAAGCGCGGGCCGTCAAGCCTGTCTGCCTTGAACTTCATGCTGTGTCCCTGCTCGTGGTGAGCGTCAACGCCGTCCTTCCCGTGATGAGGGCGATGCGGTGGTTCGTCATGCTCGGGATATCCTGCGTCCACCGGATGTCCGTGATGGTGATGAGCGTGCTCTGCGATGAACTTCTCGCTCTCAAAGCTGAGCTTGACGGCGCCGTGATGAGACGAAGGCTGTCCATGCTCTTCGTGTGCATGAAGGCGATTGTTGTGACCTGGACGGCGGTGGAAGATAAACCTGTCAAGGCCGAGCTTGTGCGCTACGAACTCGAAAAAGCTGGGGCGGTGGTGACGGTGGTGACGGGAAGCGTGTTCGTCCTGAGATTGGTGTTCGCAACTATGCTCGGAGCCCTTGGAATAGCCGTGAGAAGGATGGTGACGATCTTGGACATCTTCCGCATGACGGTGAGGGTGGTGGTGGTGGTGATCCTCCTCCTCCTCGTCTCCATCGAAGAACGGGCGGTGATGCAGAAGCTCCTCCTCAGAGGTGTCCTCTGATAAGCGCTCGGGTCTCCCTGGACCCCCCGGACCACCTGGACCAGGCGGGCCTCCCGGCCCTCCAGGGCCGCCATGTCCACCTTGCGGGAGAATTTGAAGTGCGGATACCAGTTCAACACCGTCGGAGAAGTCACAGTACATGACCTCACTATGAAATTAAGATCAGTATACGAAAAAGCTGTATGTGGAAAGATCGTGCACGCACAAGTGGAACTCCATCCGCACGAAACCGTCTACACCGAGTGGTTTTCCCCACTGGCATAGCTTCTCAATACGTTCATGCTCCCCCATCCCGCCGCGCTCATGACCCTCACCGCCTTTGACCTCACGGTACATGATGAGGTCTTGTGTGTCGAGTGCGCCGTCGTCGATCTTAGCGGCAGACGCGCCATCGAGATAGATCAACTTCAATGCGCGTGTTGTTGCGAACGTCAGGACATGACCCTGCTGACCACGCGCGAAGATATATGCGTGCTCAAAGTCGAATGCAAGCTGAAACGCGATTAGAGAGGATATATGTTTTAGACGTTGACTCTGCGTACCCATTCAGGCTTTGTGGGTACTTCGGCGCTACCCCGGCCATGGTAGACGATGGTACCAGCAGGCATTGTAGCGGGCACAAAACTGTGTCCTATCGGGGTGAAGTCAGCTTCATTCGCGCACTACGTTGCGAACGAGACGATATACACACCCGGGCGCTTGATAGTGTTCGGCCAGCGCTGAAGCACTGAGCTGACGGAATTGAAGATAAGATGCCCGGTAGCATCGGGGCTCGGGGCACGTTCCCAATCCAAAGTGGACTCCACTTCCTCAGAGTCGAAGGTCGTCTGCAGAGGTGTCGAAAGCGCGCCCACGGAGGCCGCCGCTAGAAGCAGCGGGAAGACCTTCATAGTGGTACGGAGTTAGACCGTACGTGACAAGGAGCGACAGAGGTGGTGGTGGTACAGAGGACAAGACGAGGCGCCGTCGGGCAGAAGTGCGGCTGTTTTGACGAGGGCGGCGCGACTGCGCAACTAGCTGCGAGGCGCGATGCTCGGATTATCGGACGAGCGCAGCCACTTAGCCAAAGTTAATCTTCACCGAGCACTTCCCGGTGATATATTTTTGGGACGCGTACATCGTACATGCTGCGCATGCGTATTGTGTCGGCAAACTATCGAGTTGAGAGACGTCCCTTGAACGATGAACGCGCTCAACACGAGTCCGAGGTGGGATATCATGGGCACATCGAACTCAGCGCTACAGTAGGTGAATCGGATAAAGACGAAGTTAGGGTGGCTAGTCCGAGCGAACAGATCATTGTGCAAGATAAAACGGTACGTGCGATCACCATGAAGGTTTGGGACAACTCGATTGACGCACGTTCCCGGCACGTTCCCGGCTCCGGACGGGATCGGCGCGCGGCCGATTGGCAATGCTCTGTAACTGAGCTTGCTTCTATCCATCATCACGACAGTCTTTACTTGCAATATTCACTCGGATTAGTACACTCCTGCATGGCGTCCCAATGAGTATTGACCTGATATACGACAATGATATGCAGCCTGCCAGAGACCATGAGGCATCGAACCTTCGTCGACCATCGCGGCGGCAACCCGTTGTCGGTATGGACATACTGGGATAGTTGATTACATAGCGTCCCTCTATAGTATCGAGTAACTCAAACTCTATTGTGGTCATGGGACGCGAACGGCATTGAACCCTTTGAAGTCTTGGACCAATTCGGGTCTGCGCGTTGCTGAGGTCTTCTTTGCTGGCGTTAGCGGGTGGAGACGCATGTTACAGTATTTAATCCCAGTGGAGTTTGCGCCATGTTACTTGGGAGGATGGGGGAGGCACGCATAACCACGTTGCTGTACTGGTTCTCTGTGATTCATCTGTATCAGACGATTCATTCGTCTACTCGTTCTGAGCCATTGTCAACGCCCTGATTGTCGTCGACGCTCATTAGGTCTGTGTGTATCACATTCGGTGGATGACCGCGATGTCTACGCGGCTTCCTATTTATATCTCTTCAACTCGTCCTCGAATTAGACCACTATGTGCATGCAGTTGCCGGCAAGAAGATGCAGCGGGTGCGAAGAGTACGAGAAGATATACAATCACGAACGTAAGGTATATTCAGAACAAAGGTATCGAGACGTAGGCGGCCTTTCAGAAATAAACAAGCTCTGCTGGGACAATTAGACTAACACCGAATAGACGTCATCTACGGGACTCACATGGAAATGTGCTGGTGAGTATAGTTAGAGCGATAAGGAGTCCCTGATGCTATCGAGTTGACGGCGCTCCTGCTCAACACCGTCCAGAAGTTTATTGTACATCACAAGCACGGCATCGAGCTTGCGATGGACCTCTTTGTTGTCCTTCTCAAGCGAGGCGATCCGCTCAGCTGCCTGTCGACGCTGCTCCTCGAGACCCTGGAGTTCAGATCGTGCGGCCTGGAGCTGCGACTCGGCTTCTTCGCGTGCGAAACGTTGAGCGGCGGCTTCGGCCCTGGCGGCCGACGCGACGTCAATTGCGGCCTTCATATCGGCTTCGGAAGCCTTTGCACGGTCTCTAGCATCCCGCACTGCATCGGTAAGGAGACGAAACCGCTGATCGAGAGCTCGAACCAACCCCCCTGTGAACCGTGTAAGCGGCAGATCGTGAAGATGAGAAGACAACGGACCATAAGGAAGGTCGGTCAGCGCGGGAGATGCGGGTAGCCATCGTCGGACGAGCTTAGTTACTCCCTCGCAAGCGTCATTGACCTCATTCAGAAGATCAAAGGGGATAAGGTCGGTGTGCGGGTGACTAGACAAATAGGCTTCCAGCGCCTGGGGCTCGGGAAATTCGAAGTCTTGCGCCAAAGGAGACACAACGGCCTCGGAGGGTTGGGCAATCGCGCCTTCCGGCTGCTCGCTAAGCGCTCGCGACGCGTTCGATCCAGACATGGCAAAGACGAGTCCCCTAAGATCTGTAAAAGCGCAGACAGAGAGGAGGTGGTGCAAGGTGGTGGTCGAGATGGAAGACGGTTTGTTGTCGCGTAGCGTTCAATGTTCAGATTCAACCGTCGAGCTGTCAGACAGGTGAGTAGCCTTGACACCCCAAACCGCGGCGAAGGAGAGCGGTCAACGCAATCGTAGTGCCGACGGGTGACTCCTAAGATCTTGGTGTCAGCCAAGAGATGGCGCTCAAGGCGAGTTACAAGAACCAGCAGTCTGCTAATCAAGAGGTTGGTGCCGACGACGACCGCCGTGGATTTATAAATCGGATTCGATTCCGGTGGTCCATTATTGATTGAAGATGAGTTATAGTGCTTCGTATAGACAGCGTTAAAACGGAGGCACGGAGGTACTTTGGTGTATGGGTCGCTGTCAAAGTTGAAAGCAACGGAGGCGTCGACAGGCGTCGCGTCAAAGTCTCCCGGTCCGAGAGCCGCGCTTGATCATGACATCATTCTTTACAATCGGCCGGGAAAACGCCGAACCGAAGACTTCTATCTTGAAGTCCATCCCTTCATTGCACGGATGTGAACGCGTATACAAAACAAGGCGCATTTCTTCGACGAATAGGCTGAACACAACACAAGTTGTACGTGCTACGTAGACATCACGCTACACAGACCCGCCGAACTCCCTTACGCACTCTTCCACCAAATCCGTCCCCTCATACTTCTCCTCATACTCCCTCGCCCGCTTCCTATCCAGCTCCTCCACAATCCTCACCCCAGCCTCCGTCTCCAGCTCCAGCTCAGCGCTCAGCAGCTCGCTCAACAAGCTCAGCATGTTGAGCTGCGCGTCGAGCTCTGCTTCACGCTTTGCCAGCTTGCGGATGGCGCGCCGGGTGCGCCAGGTTTTGAGGCTTAGGCGCGCTTTGAGGTTGAGTTTGAGGAGACGAAGGATGAGCTTGAGGCCTTGACCTGCAATGGGTGGGGTGGGAGTGAGTGACGGTGCAAAGAGGAAGTGGTGGTGTTGGACGGACGGAAGCTTCGGGTGTGTTTGGGCGCGGAGAGGTATGCGTCGGCTTCGGCAATGAGAGCGTTGTAGGTACCGGTTGAGCCGGGACTGGACTCAATCAGTTCTGAGGAGGTCGCAGTCGAAGGAGCGGAAGGAGATGGTGCCGAGGCGGGCGCCGTTATGGACGGAGCCGGCGATCCTGTATGACAAGGGGTAGATTCAATGAATGCTGCTCTTAACGGAAACAGAGAGACTGGGCACAACCTGGCGATGTGCTAGTAGACATGATGGGTCAAACCAGCGTTCGCGAAATAATAGGATGCGACGAAGAAGTTGATGTGGAAGTGACGAGAGGTGGGAAGAAGGCAAGGCGATGCCGCTGCTGCTGCTGCTTGAGTATGACAAGTTTGTATTCCTCGGCCTTCGGCAGTTGACATGGACGTCGCGTGGGAGATGAAGAGCAAGGTCAAATACTGAGCGGCGAGCGAGACCTTGAGCATTCCGTTTGGCATTATAGCGCCGTCTTTCTCCTGCGGGTAGACTGTGGCGAACACATGTTGAATCTGCGTAGCGCCATCGCCAATAATATCGTCTGCGTAAAGGGTGCCTTCTCATGCACACAACAAATGCCGGAAAACTTCGCGAGTTCTGATGAGTGCCGGTACATCCGAGATCACCAAGTCATGCTTGAGTCTTGAGACGTTGGGCTCCGAGCCCTCGCGAACGCGCGAGCATCTCCGGTGGCCGGACGGCAGCCAACCTCTGCGGCGCGCCCATGGAGATAGAAAGAGCAAATAATATTTGCGGCAGCCATCACGTCCCAAACTCCGATACGGCCGACTGTTTGAAATATAACCGAAGCGAAGACTATGGCAGTGGTCGCCGTCGAAAGCAAGACGCGTTCGCGTCGAACGACCGGAACGGCAGGCGCGTCATTCGGCCCGACCTCCGACCAGACGCCACAAACTGCCACAAACCGACACTTGCTCCTGGCCGCGACCTCCTTCTCCTCCCCAAAACACAATGCATATGTCACCTCTCGACGAGCTAGCAGAGTTCCTCGACGACGAAGCGCGCTTACGAATAAGATCGGACTTCAAGTCGAAATGCGTGCTATGCAGCGCGTACCTCGAGCCCCACGAGTGACACTCTATACATACCGCTCTTGTACGACTCTAGCCTGGTATGGGGGACTCATCAGGGCTGGGAAGACTTGATTGTCTGATTGAGATTGCGTGGAAAGTATATGAAGTGGATCTAGGATTGGCATACGAGGGTGCTTAGGCCGTATGAGACTTCGAATGGGTTGTATGTCATTGGTCGGTACGGTTTGTCTCTGTCGTGACGGGCATCTGCTGATGGGCGATGCAGCATGTAGGGTGTGTGCCTCATTTTGCGAGTAGATGCTCGAACACCTGGAGAGATATCAGCACTGTACTCCAGAACGACGCGCCGCTGGCCCGTTCTTGGACTGCTACGAGCTCCGCCCGGTATTCCCGCCGTCGGAATCGGCCTCTCCCTCTCCATCCGCAACACCACACGTCCGTCCTTGTCCAACTACACAACTCACGGATGCGCATCCACGTTATCACGTCTTTGAGCACGTTCGACACGGAACGGTCCGTCTCCTCTTCATCCTCTTCCTCGCCTACAGTCGTCGCGCTCTTCGCGCCCCCCTCGACCGTCCCCACCCTCCTCTGGCGCATCCCGCACCGCGCCCCCGGCCTCCTATTCGTCTACGCGCAACAGCTCGCCGTAGCCGACACCTGCGACCCCGTCCTGTCCCGCCTCTGCACGCTCCTGATGCTGCCGCTGGGCAATACGCGCGATCGGGGGCTTTCGTGTCGTGATGTGGTGGAGGGAGAGGAATATATTCGATAAGGACGAGCCTGGTTGTGAGTTCTGTATCTTGCTATTGTGGGCGTGGTTTGTGTGCTGAGGCTGATGGGACTTGTAGGGTCATTCGCGGACGTGTCGGCTTGGGCTCGGGCTTGTTGTCGTCTTTGTCTTCCCTTATATCGCGCGTATTCAACCTCTTATATAGTGTATAGGCTTGTACGTCTTATATACGTTGGCCTAATTGAGCCGCGTTGTACCAGTGCCATGTCTGGCAGGATGCGGGAAGTGCGTGCGGCGCAACCTCGGCCCGAGGTCCTACGAACCCTCGCCGCCAGACCACATTTCGGCAATCGCTACCTAGTACTGGAATCCTTACCATACTTCATTCCGACCCCTGCATCTCACAGAGTGAGCGCAATAGCTCTACGACAGCTGAGAAGTCCTGCCACATGCCACGAATCGCTCCCTTTGACCTTGAGTCGATGCGCATCGCGCAGCCTTGCTTGAACTTCCTTCTGCAGCGAGTGAGTAGCGGTGGCAGCTCTGCCTCCAAGATGAGACGGTGTCCGAGTATCCTAGTACTTGGCGCCAGAGACAAAGTAAGATCGTACGCGCAAGAAGTGCATAATCATTATATCCGTGATATCGTACACAAGCGTCCGCTCTCTCCCAACCAAGCGAAAGTCCATAGCCCACACATCCATTCCAAACACCCCTCCACACCAAACCCCCCACGTCTACGCCTTCTTCTCCTTCCCCGGCGGCACATAATCCCGCGTCAGATCGATGCCGCTCCCCTTGAGATGCGTGTTCGTGATCTTCGCCTGCCGCTGGCGCGGGGCCGACTTCTTGCCCTTCTTCTTGCCTTGGGGCGCTTTGATCGTGGGGGCTTCGGAGGTGGAGGCCTGGAGGCCCTCTTTGTGCGGCGTTAGTGTTAGTATGAATGAAAAGGGGGAGGGAAGGGAGGAGGGGGAGGGCGCACCGTTTTCGAGCTGGCGGAGGAGGTCGACGTCGTTGGGTACTTTGAGCGCGTGCCATAGCTCGTTGAACTCTATACCATCCATCAGCTCTCACCCTCTCCCTTACCCCCACACGCGACGCACGACTCACCTTTCTCAACACTAAACCCCGTCCCATTCCGCGCGCCCTCCCCACTCCCACCCGCGACCTCCTCGCCCCGCCGCAGCTTCGTCTCGTTCCAATACACCATCTTCATCGCGCCGTCCTTGTTCGTCCGCGTGATAAACACGTCGCCCTCCTTCTCGAGCTCTTCGAGCGCGGTGGGCGCGGAGGGCCAGGACTCTTTTATGATTTTGACGGAGAAGCCGCCGCCGCGCCGTGTTTCGCGCTGGATCTCGGTCAGGAGGGCGGCTTTGTTGCGGATGTTGTATTCGTGCTGTTACGGAGGTTCAGTGCCGTGTGGTAAAGATACAAGGAAGAAGGGGGAGGGAGAGTACTTTGTAAGAATAGAGCTTCGTCTTCGGATCGTACTCCACGCGCTCGTGCTTGAGGAACTTGTCGAGGAGTGCGGCGTTCGTGTCCAGCGGCGTGTTCGTGACGATCGAGATATCCTCGATGCGCGCCGGCCCGTTCTTGTTCTGTCCATCCGTCAGCCCAGTCGCACTCAGCGTAGAGAAAAGAAGTGTGCAAGGGAGAGGCGGACCTTGAGATACTCGATAGCGTAAACGAGCTGCGTATTGATATTCGTGCCCGTGCCCGTGTCCGCCGGCTGGCTGTACACCTCACCTACGCACTCGCTTCAGCCACGCCACCCAACGTCACATCTCACATCATATGAGTAATGCGTACTGGGCTTCGGCCGCTTCTTCTTCTTGCCCGCCGGCAGCCCGTCCTCGGTCTTGACGGCCGGGAACGGCTGCGTGCTCGCGCTCGTGCCGGGGTGGGAGGCGCCGGGCGTGGAGAGGGCCGCGGAGCGGAAGGAGGCGGCGTCACGTTGGAAGGACATTATATATCAGTTGTTTATTGAAGAGTGGGGGAGGGAGAGGGTGGTGGTGGGAGACAAGGAAGCGCGAGGCGAGCTGAGCTGTGGCGCACGCCTTTGATCGAATCGGGTCCTTTGTTCGTGACTCCCATCACCCGGCCCCGGCTCTACCCAAATAACTATACCACACCCTATCTATGTGCGGGCGCTTCTCACTCGGCCTCGCCGTACGTCCCTCTATTGCAATCGCTGGAAGCTCGTGCTTAGAGTGGTATGTGGGATAGGCCGACGACATCGAACAACTGCACGGCTACCCCCATCTCGCATCCCAAGTCCGCGGATGGGTCAACCGCGAGGCGTTCGTCCCGCGGTATAACGTCGCGCCGCGCTCGCAGGCGCCTGTCATCCGCCGGCGCTCACCTTCCCCTTCCACTACTGCAAACGACAAGGAGGGAAAGGATGAAGGAGCAGGAGAGGAGGGAGAGGGAGAGGGCGAGCTGGTGCTGCACACGATGAAATGGGGCCTCGTGCCGCACTGGAGCAAGAAAGAAGACACGACGCTCAGCACGATCAACGCGCGCGCTGAGAGCTTGTGCGAGGGCGGGAGTCAGGGGGTTTGGGGGAGCGTGAAGGGAAGGAGGAGGTGTGTTGTGCCTGCTCAGGGGTGCGTGCTACGTTCTTTGGGTGAATATATGGGAGGAGGGGCTGATCGATTGGGGTGGGGATGTAGGTACTACGAGTGGCTGAAGAAGGGGAGGGAGAGGGTGCCGTATTTCACGAGGTTTAAGGACGAGGGGAAGTTGGTGATGTTCGCGGGGTTGTACGATGTCGCGTATCTCGACGGTCCGTCTCTTTCCCCACTAGCCATCCAGTCATCCGTGTGCTTATGTTACTGCAGGACACGAAGAACCGCTGTACACGTTCACGATCATCACCACCTCCGCGCCCCAAAGCTTCTCCTGGCTACACGACAGACAACCGGTCATCCTCGACTCTGAATCAGCCATCTCCGCCTGGCTCGCTTCTCCTTCCCCCTCTCCCTCCGCCTCCTCCTCTACCACCATCACCCCGTCCTCAACGTCGCAGGCAAAGTCAGACTGGACCCCCGCCCTCGCCCGCCTCATCTCGCACCCCCTCTCAAACGCCGACGCAAAGCTCGAGTGCTACGCCGTGCCGAAAGAGGTGGGCAAAGTGGGCAACGAGGATGCGAGCTTTGTGCGGCCGGTTAGGGAGAGGAGGGGTGGGTTGGAGGATATGTTTTCGAGGCAGGCGAAGAAGGGAGGCGTGAAGGAGGAGGCGTTGAAGAAGGAGGAGGGCCTGAAGGCGAAGAGAGAGGAGGGTGTTGGTGATGTGGTGGCGAAGGGAGAGAAGAGGAAGAGGGATCAAGGGGATGTGGAGGGGGGTGCGGAGGCCAAACCGTTGAAGACGCCGAAGAAAGAAGAGGATACGGAGGTTGAAATCATATCGCCTCCGAGCTCACAGGACAAGACTCGGCTGCCCTCGGGCTCACAAGACGTACGTTCTATCGCTCCTCCCCGCGCTCGTGAGCATACGCTCAACCTCTTGTTGCGTTGCAGCGCTTGACGCCAAAGAAACCTCTTCGTAAAGCCGCCAAGAAAGAAGAGTCCGGCGTCAAGATCACGTCGTTCTTCGGGAAGAAGACATGAGTCCTGAATGGGGTGCGATGCGCGTTTCGTTCTCTCTACTCGCTCTCGTTGGATCTGTATAGTCTTAGTCGATCTTGTTGTCGTTTGTCCGAGGATCTTGGGTATTGTATCTTGCTTTTGTGTATCCTACGAGCCATGTACTGTACCTCACTTGCTGTATAATACGTTTATCTCTCCGCGCGTAGTATGTACTGCCGATGCTTGTATGCACGACGTTCATCTCGACAGGGCGTGGTTGACCACCACCTCTCGTTGGATCTTTAGCTCATTGGTGTCCTCAGTGCCCAGTCGTCCGACTCATACCCAGCCACCCAGGACCACAGCAAGCCTCAAGTCACGTCGCGGCGAGGCGCGAGCTGAACCAACCAACCAAACAAAACGCGTGGTGCCTTGTAGGTCCATGTGACCACACGTCCTCCGCTTGATCAGCCTCGCGCACATCTCCCGCCCGCCTGTTCGTCTCCGACCACGACGCGACAAGGCCTGGGATGGCGTTCTTCTCCCGGCCCGCATCCGCCAGTGCAGCCGTGAAGATCGTCGCGCCTTCTTCCATATCCAACGACACCCCGCGGCCGGGTCCTATCGCCAACTCCACTTCTACCTCGGGCTCGGGGGCGGGGACGATTACGCCTAAGAAGGGTGCGTGGTATCGCTTGTGATGCAGTATAGAGGAGAGAGGAGGAGAGGCTGATTGGGGTATACGGGATAGATACGACGAAGCGCGAGTGTAGGAATATACATATTTACGGGTGAGATGGGTCTTGTGTAGATGAGAGGAGAGGCTGATCGGGTGTGGTATGCCAGATCGTGCAAGTTCCAGGATAAGGGGTGTACGTTCTATCATCCGCCCGCTGTTGAACCCGTACGTGCACCCTCCATCATCTATAACTCTCTCATATGTAACTGAGGTGCTGATGGGGACTATTGCTAGTTCCGGCCTACGACGCCGCCGAACGCGAGTTCTTCTGTACCGTGAGTTGCCTCTGCAGTCGATCAAATGCATACGGCGAGGGTGACTGATGGGATGGGTGTTGGGTAGTGTACTCCCCGACACGCCCAGCCGCGCGCTCGCTCAAGCCGTCAACGCGCCTGTGTTCGTGCCCAAGACGGGCCCTACGAGTCCTCCGCCCGTCAATGCGATCCGCGCGCGGTCGCAGACTCCGTGCGTCTTCCCACTCTCACCACGATACCAACATGACGTATGACCGGTGATATTTTCAGAACGACGCTAAGCGACTCGCCGCCATTGACGGAGTACAACGACTCGACGTACGATCCGAACCGATATCTGTATCACGGTGATGGGAGCGAGCCTACGTATCCCGAGGGCGAACAAGTATATGCGGAGGGCGAGTACGGTGCGGACGGGGAGGGGCATTATCAGAATGTATGTTGTTTACTTCGTGTTGAGGACATTGTATGGGAGCTGATATGGGTGCAGATGGAGTACGGCGAGTACGATCACGGGATGGACTATTATCCCCAAACCACATTCGTCCGTCAACCCGTACGCCCACCCTCCCTCTCCCGCATCAGGACCGCGCACTAACATATACTCTCAGCTGAACTACCACCTCTACGCCCTCCCGCCCTCCTCGCCGCCCTCCAGCCACTTCATCTCCAAAACCCTGCGCACCGACCTCCAGCTGCGGTCCGAGACGCTGCACACGGCGCCCGCGCCGGGCCTGAACCTGCCGGAGGAGATCAACGGGTACCACACGCTCGTGCCGCTGGAGAGCACGCAGGGCGAGCGGCGGAAGTTTGGGGGGTTCCCGAGCACGGTGTATCGCGCGACGGGGAAGGACGGGCGGGGGTACGTCCTGCGCCGGGTCGAGAGTGCGTTTTCACGTTCATCCTAGGCTTGAGCTGTAGTACTAACGCGCGCGCAGACTTCAGGCTGATGCACGAATCCGCCTTCAAGCCCATCGAACAATGGTCCGCCCTCACGCAACCCAACATCATCAAACTGCACGAAGCATTCACGACCCGGTCCTTCTCCGACAACTCAGTCGTCTTCGTGTACACGTACCACCCCACCGCGCGCACGCTCTACGACGCGCACCTCAAACATCGCCCCAACGGGCCGAACGGCAAGCCGGCCTTGTTGCCCGAGCGCACGATGTGGAGCTATGTGATTCAGGTCGCCGGCGCGGTGAGGGCCGCGCATGAGGCGGGCCTGGCGCTGCGGGTTGTGGATGTGAGCAAGGTGCTGCTCACCGGCGCGCACCGGGTGCGCGTGAGCGCCGTGGGCGTCGCGGACGTGCTGGGCTACGGCACGCCGGCGCACACAGCAGCAGCACAACAAGACGACCTGGCGATGCTCGGCCGGCTGATGCTCACGCTGTGCACGGGCAGCGTGAACGCGGTGCAGAACATGCCGAAGACGATCGAGTTTGTCGGGAAGCATTATAGTGGCGATGTGAAGACGGTCGCGCTGTTTCTGTTGAGCGGGCAGCAGAAGCATGTGGGGCAGGTGTTTGAGATGCTGGGGAGTCGGTTGTTGGATGAGCTTGATGAGGCGCAGAAGTACGTTCCCTCCCCCTCTCCCTCTTTCTCTCCTCCTTCCCTCTCTCCCTCTTCCTCTAACCACTCTTCTTCCGATTGTGTATTGTTGAGAGTGAGTGCTGATGCGGGGACTGCGCAGCGCGATCGACCACCTCGAGTCGAACCTCTACTCCGAGCTCGAGAACGCCCGGCTCTTCCGCCTCCTCGCCAAGCTCTCCTTCATAAACGAGCGCCCCGAGTTCGCGCGCGACGCGCGCTGGTCCGAGACCGGCGACCGCTACATCGTCAAGCTCTTCCGCGACTACGTGTTTCACCAAGTTGACTCTACACAAGGGCAGGGGGAGGGGCGGCCGGTGCTGGACATGACGCACGTGCTGAGCTGCCTGAACAAGCTCGACGCGGGGACGGAGGAAAGGATGTTGCTTGTTAGCAGGGACGAGCAGAGCGTGCTGGTTGTTAGTTATCGGGATGTGAAGGCGTGTGTTGAGGCGGCGTTCGCGTGCGTGCTCTTTCTCTCTCTCTCTCTCTCTCTCTCTTTTGAGGTGATGGAGTGATGTGGGCTGACGAGGGTTTGGTTGTAGGGAGCTTTCGCGCCGCTGAAGAGGCGCATTCGACATTCGAACTGCTTTGTTGATTTGTTATAGACGGACGTGATGGAGCTGTATTCTTTCTTGTCGACGCTGTTGTATATCCCCCCTCCTACCACTGCCCTCACCCCCACTTCTCACACGTCCCCTTCACACCGTCCCCACCCTCTCCCCCGCTTGCGAAAACTACGGTAGACCCTCAGAAAAACCTGGAAAAATGATAAATATACAGTTTGCTTTTCTCATCGTGATGGCCGTGCGAGTGCTGAGGATCGCCCCATGTCCTTATTCTCCGTCGTAGACGGAAATGATGCGGAGAGGCTGAGGAGAGACACAATCTATGCGCGTTCGTGTGCTTGACGGCGGTTTCTCACTGTATGCACACTTGTGCCTGGGATCTCTTTTTTGCACGTACACTTTCCTCAATGTTCTGGCATGCCTCGAGTTTTCTCACGAATAGCTGAAGTGGGCGGGACATGGGACGGAGCCGGCGCTCGATGCCCGATGCATACCCGAGTGAGACGTGTTACGTGTTACGTCTCCTCCATACGGATGCGTACATTCCGCTATCCCCGGGCCGCGATAGGCGGCGAATGGACTTCTTCTTGTTCCCTGGATCATGTCGAGGCTGTTTGAGAAGAGTGTTTGTGGGTATGAGCATGGACCTGAACAATCTCCGGTAGGAAGAGTCGCATTTATTCATGTCGATGTGCACGATACGGCTGGGCGTGGCCTGGGATCACACGCGATCAGGATATCGATCCGGCGCTTCAGCCACTACGAATCGATATTCTCTTGGAGGCTTCTCTGGACGCGTAATGAACGGCGGCGCTGAGGCGTGTTTGCAGCAAGGCGCGGATCTGCGCGGACTGCGGAACTTTCGCAGACCAGATGAGCTCGGAGATGAGCCAGTTCACTCTTCGTGAATGGTCGCGTCGCGTGGAGCACGTGCCGCGGCGAATTCGCCAGTTCGCCATCAGTTCGCCGTTGACCGCGGACAACTATCGTTGTCCGCAGACATGAAGGGCGCATCCTAAGGCCTAAGGCTTCAAACTCGTTGGTCCGAGGGGACTGAATGCACCACTATTATGTAGCCAGCCTATACAGGCTGTCTATCATTGTGTGAAACCTATAGACAGGTCCGAGGAGTCGATTGGCCAAAAATATGGCCGTATGTAGACAAGGTGAGGGACTCGACAATATTTGAATGAATTGTAGACTCTCGCTTCCACTCGAACCGACCGCGGTCACCGAAGTTGACTGCAGCCACCTGAGTGGACCGCGGTCTATCGAGTGGACCGCGGCCATCTCAGTTAACCGCGGACTTCCACCGTGACCGCGGTCTGTCGAGTGAACCGCGGTGTTCCACCTTGACCGCCGTCAATCGAGTGGACCGCGGTCTCTTTCGACGTGACTGCAGCGACTTGCATTGCTGAGCTCCATTCGGCTCGCGGAGCTTGGTTAACGTGCTGAGTACTGTCATAGTACATCTCAACCCTTCGCGGGTAGCATATATGCTCAGTGCGACCTGTACATAATTTATTCACACATTTAAGACCATTTGTCGAAATTTTACTTGGGTCACATCCTACATATCTCTGAGATCCCCTCAGTGAACCTTGAGGCGAGGGTAAATATGTACTAGTTCATACGGTGAGAGGTGAGGGAGAGGAGGAGGGGGAGCTATGACTAGAAATTGAGTGGCAGGTAAGGTAAGATGGGCCCGCGACTTGTACGGCCAATCATCCTGGCCACGGTCAGCTTTCTTGACCGCGGTCAACCGACTGGACCGCGGCCAATCGTCGTGACCGCGGACTGCTCTTCTGGCCGCGGTCGAGCGACCTCCTCGCAGTACCGCGGCAAGCTGGTGACCGCGGCCGATTGAACCGCGGTCATGTGGCGAACTGATGGCGAACTGGCGAATTCGCCAGCTCACGTAATCCACACGGCGCGACCGTTCTCCACTCTTCCAGGTGGACATTGCGGTGCCACGATCGCACAGATAAGCTCGCTGCCAGTGTAGCGTTTCATTGAAGACTTGTAGGCGCTACTGTATCAGTATGCTGGCGCTTTGTGGGTACCGGGCATGCACAGACGGTCCGCGCATCGTCACTGCAACGCACTGCAGTGTTCATACTACACCTCCTCGTGTGTTCATCCCGCGCGTTCGAGGTTTGAACTGGTTTGAAGACGCAGATATGACCCGCGCTATTGTTTGGGCCATCTTGTCGGTCGCGGTAGGAAGCGCCGGTATGGCATAGCTGGAGCTAGCTGGATGGGAAGCATCCGGCGAGTTATAGTACGATCCGCGTCCGATGCACGGCGAGGGAATGGGGAAGTTGGAGCGCACAGTACTGTGAGCGGTAGTACTTTGCGGGGAAAGGTGTCTTCAACTCCATTACAGTTTCACCAGGGCTCTAAGCGTGACTAGCGCGCATTCCTCCAAACCAGGGTGGGCTCATGCTGGAAGACATCGACAAGCAAGTCCGATACCAAAATGTCATCCCCGACGCTGAACCAACTTGGCGCGCGGCAGAAAAGGCCCAGTCTCTGCGATGGATTGTCCTTCGTTTTACTAGGCTCCTTCCTACAAAAGGGTGCCATGCAAGTGCATGAGGCCCAGACAACGGGCATAGGTGGCACTTGGTTGGTCAAGAACGGCGTGAGTGCGCGGACATGATGCATGATGACGGATCTCAATCAATTGTCGCGCGTGTTCCTTGCCTCCCACCATCATCTCCCGTGTACGCGTCGAAAATGTGCATCCATGAGGTGGCTTGCCCTACTTATCGGTGTGAACTGCTGTTCCTCTCGTATGTAGGAGTGAAGCAAACACGTTCCTGATCTCAGCAGTGTTGCAATTCAACACTCCCGTAGCGGGCACCTCGACCGCCCTACTGCTTGTGCTTTGCCCCGTGCCCAGCAACATCGGTACCGTCTTTCACGGTCGGAATCAGTTGTTATTAAATTTCTTCCCGCTAGCTTGGATTGTGCTGGAGACGGGATGTCTATTAACGGCGCAGCAGGCGTACGATGTCCATTGAACAAGACCTCCGTAGACTGCTTGGATATGAGGGTCGACGAGGGCAATTGTGCGCATTCGCAATCTGTAGGCCTATCTTTGCATCATCACGATCCGTGTGTGCTGATGTGTCTACGTAGCACCTTGCCTCAACATGAAGCGCGCCGCATGTCTGACAACGACTGTTACACTCCATGCTTATACCTCTCGGCTTTCATATCAACTCCCCGTATCAGATGTTGTGCGGACCTCACGGATCACTTTCTCTCGCTCGCTTTCTCTAGAGGCGCAAGCCCGATTGACAACGAGTCAGGAGGAAGCCAGACATCCAACCCGTTGCCTGCGTGTCATCCAGCTGGCTCTCCTCTCCGGAACCTCCGTCAACGACTATATCAATCGAGAATCCCATCAAATAGTCAAGTCATAACTCTCCCCAGTACTTGTCCGCAATGATACCTCGCATCACCGAGTCTACGCGCAGATTCTTCGGCAAAGGAAAGTCAAAGCAGTAAGCCCTGTTCTACGGGTAGACATTCCATTCTCCTGACGTGTCCGCAGAAGCCCTTTCAATGCTTCGGGCTTTCGAGCTTTGATCATCGGTATCGATAAGTACGCCTCAGAGGCCATCGATAACCTTCAAGGAGCCGTTGCAGATGCTCGAGCCGTCTACCAATACTTGACAGAAGAACTCTTTGTTCCGGCTGACCAGATCGTATTGTTGACCGACAAGGCCGCTCGAAGAGAGGCTATTCTGCGACATCTCCGGAATCTGGGAACCCTTACGACCGGAAAGTCGCCAGAATCCAGTACAGCGAATCCTATCCTCATCTACTTTGCCGGCCACGGCACCACTGCTGAGGCCCCCGATGATTGGCCGACGGGGCATAAGAGGATATCAATGATCATACCCTATGATGCGATGTTCGCCGTCAAGTACTCGAAGGATTTCGACGTCAATACTATCCGTACACGCGGCACGAAACGCGTCTACCCTATCCCCGATCGCACCCTTGGCGCAATACTGCACACGATCGCGGAGGAGTATGGAGACAACATTGTACGTTTTGAGACGGACTTGATCCATGATTCGTACTAATACCATGGCCGAATAGACTGTGATTCTCGACTGTTGTAACTCCGGTTCCGGAACGCGAGATGGCGAACGCGGGTTGGACCGTGGAGTCACCATGAGTGACGACGAGGTGATCCCTCCCGGTCTGGACGAGGAGATCTGGGGAAAAGTGGTTCAAGAACGTGCTACCGACGTGCCGAGAGGCTTTGCCAAGTCCGGAATTAGGTCTCATGTCCTCTTGGCCGCTTGCCGCGAGGGCGAGAGGGCGCGGGAGGTGAACAAATGTGGTGTATTCACGCAGGAGCTTCTCATTGCCCTGCGGAAGTGTCGAACGAGCACGGTGACTTATGAAGAGCTGATGGGGATTCTTTCGAAGTTACCAGAGTACGTTTGCATAATTCAGCGGTTTACCATGGGCGTATGACTGAACCCATGTCTTAGTCAGAACCCCCAGTGCGAGGGCTACCACACTGATCGCGTCCTCTTCACTGCTATCGCGCCGACCAGAGGCCGCATGGTGCATCGCGTCTCATATCATGATGGGTCGTACACGATCCAAGCGGGCACGATTCACGGCGTGACGCACAACTCCAAGTTCTCCATACACTCCCATCCCAACGACTCACTTCGGCCTCTGGCCACCATGAGGGCGCTCAGTGTCAGCAGCTTCTACACTCGGCTCGAGCTTTGTACCCCAGTCAAACCGCGGAAAATCCCATCACCTGCCTTCGCCTTTCAATTGCCGGTTCCCGGTGAGGATGATGTCCTGAACCTCGATCTTTGTCAGATAGATCGGGTTCTTCCTCATCTGCGTGCCTCGATCGACCGAGGGAAAGCCGGCTACCCCGTCACGGTCAACGACAAGGACCCTCACATCGCTCTCGAACTTAAACGCGGCCGTGTCAGATACAAGATCCGTTATCCTGCGATCCAAGACCTTGGTCAGAACTATCTGGATCTGACAACGGATCTGGATCCGAACAGTATCAACACGGTATTGCGATCTGCGAGCCACTTCTTCTGGCACTTACGCCGAGTACCGCCCGGTGCTCAAGTCCTTCGGCAGAAGGTCTCGGTACATCTTCACAGCATGAAGCTCTTTGATGATCAGCTGGACGATCACTTGCGGCCTACTTACAAGCCTATGGAGCCCGATCTTTTGGACGACGGAGCCTCTGTGGTCGATGTCGTTGCCGGCAACACTATATATGGCATACGTTTGGATAACAAGTCTAGCCGGGCGCTACACGTTTGGGCCTTCTACTTCGACTGCAGCGACCTCACCATTAGTCAGTCAGTCTCTTGATTTGCTTTATCCCATGACTGACGTTGAAAACAACAGTGGATTACCACATGCCGTCTGCAGTTCAGACTGGCTACGATGCTGAGGTAGAGCCATCCCTCCCCGGATACGGCAGTCTATCGATCGGTTACGGGCCGGGGGGATCGCAGCCGTTCAAGTACACTCTCCGAAACGAGCAGAACGCAGACCTTGGCGTGATCAAGATATTTCTCTCTACAGAGGCCGTCGACCTTCGTGGGCTCTTGCAAGACTCAGCTCGCACAGCTCAATGCACAAAGCCGAAAGGATTCATGGAAGGACTTGATCGCGGTTGCGTGAAGGAGAGTCTACCCGAATCGAGGGAGACCTGGGATACTCGCACCATATTCGTGAGGCAACGTAGGTCGGAGTAGCTTCTATTGCACGTTGTACGGCCACACGGTGGTTGTAGTGGAGATTTCTAGCCGAGTGGAGTTTTTGCGCACGTAACCTTCTGTGTCTGCTTTCGATCGCAATCTATGTAACCGTCTTGCATGCTCTCCTCGTCTCATATTGTAACATCACCTATGTCGCTTTCTCGAAAGCTCATTGCTGTCGGTCTTTGCCAGGCGGTTCGCCGACTTGAGGGGCCTCAGCGCCTCAGCGCTAAGCGCTCATCCTTCTTCGCAATGTCATGGTATAAGACTTGTAGCTATACGGCATCATACATCTGTCATATGGCCATCCTCGGGTTCATATCGTGCTCGTGACCTGCAAATGATATTCATCTGTCGTACAAAGGAAGACTGGTGCCTTCGTGGGCCGAAGTAGCGCGACAGCTAAGTGAAACAAGCCATGTGCTTGCCTCGCGGTGTGGCTACGCAGGGCCGCACTCGGAGATGCGATGCCGCCCGAGCAAAATCTTCTAGTGGGCTCCCACTATTTGGTGCCAGCATCGGCCACGACGTCTGTGTATAATCAAGAGACCGATGGAACAGGTCCCGCGGACACGGCCATTCACTCGCCATGTATTGCCGCCGGTTGCATATCGTGGAAGCGCGAGCAAGAGACGCCAGAACGAGGTGTAGGACGGCAACTGGCTATATGATGGAATGGTACAATTACATGATCTGGGGCGTGTCCAAATCAAAGCCTTCTAGATCTCTGATAACAGATCTGAGCGGCCGTGGGAACCCGGCGAGACCTGCTGGCCGCGTCGCTCGGTGCGTCTTGGCGCTTGACCGCGTACATAAACTGCATGAGCGTCGCGCACAGTCACCGCTGCGACTTTCAGCGCCTCGCTCACCTACACGTCCGTACCTTGGATCGTGCTTGCTTGCATTCCGGGGCTCTGAAGGGGCTGTTGCCGCTCTCGTTCCGTCGCGGCGCGGCATCTTCTACTCACGCGACATAGTCAGGGCAAGTGCGCTACATCTTTCCATGTATTCACGGGTCTGACACGCTTTTGTATACATGGTCGTGAACTCTTTAGTCACTTTATCGACCCATCAAGCCCTCACCATGACCCTCGCCTCGAACTGTGCTTCTCAATGACACATTTTCGCGCGTACTCGAAGCCGGTGCCCAACTATGGATGTGAAGCATATTCGCTTTGGCTGTATCCTACGTAACAGGGGCATAGCCTATAACTGCGAGTGGCAAATAATCCCCAGATGGAACGGGATGTGCGGGAGCGGAAAGAGTAGACGAGGTCACATGGTTACCTGGGGTTACTCTTCCAGTAGTCGGTCCTACATCTACACGCAAATTGTAGAGTTGCGAGGAAATGCAATTGTTTGTTCAGCACTAGAACTTGCACCGCCAATAGTGCGAGTCTTTGCATTGCTATTGGCGTTCCACATACCGTGTAATCCCCGAACCCCGTTCACGCCGGTGTCCCGTACCGGCCGAAGCGTATCGGGATTCGATCGCCCTCGGTACTTCAATGTCAGTGCCCTGGGTCCTCAGAATCTCGGTGTCTTCCCCACCATGGGATTGCCTGCTGTCAGCTCGTCCAGGATCACAACGACAGACAAATTGCGCCTTTTCATCCGGCCAGTCTTTTGCTTGCCTGTTGAGCGGTGGGTCCAGATCAAACTTCATTCAAACCTGTCTTGACAATGTACAGAGGTCTGTCAGCGGCGGAAAACAGGATACCGTAGGTGATTCTCCCGTGAGCCTCTTTTTCGCGAAACTCAGAAGACCCCGATAGACGCAGATCGGTCCCGTTTCATGCCTTGATCATTGGCATCGACAACTACCGATCAGATCAAATCCCCAATCTTCGTGGCGCTGCCTCAGATGCCGACGCTGTCGACGAGTATGTGCGCACCGAGCTTCGCGTCCCGGCACGTCAGATTGTCAACCTCCGTGACAAGCAAGCTACTCGAAGCGCAATCGTACGAGAACTGCAGGCGCTGTGCTCAAGATCTACGCGTGCAAACGAACCTATCCTCATTTACTTTGCTGGACATGGAACCAGTGCGCCAGCACCAGATGGCTGGGCCACAGCGAGCCATCGTATTTCTTCGATTGTTGCACATGACACCCTGGCCATAGATCGTACTGGGACTATGATATGCCCCATCCCTGACCGAACTATCGCCGCGCTCCTGTATAAGCTTGCGCAAACGAGGACAGGCGATCTCAATGGCGATAATATTGTAATGCCTTTTAACATTATCAGCGAATTGGGCTCACACTTTGTCAGACAGTAATCCTAGATTGTTGCCACTCCGGATCGGGAACGCGTGATCTTGAGCATCGGCCCTACTGTCGACGACGCGGCTTTGACTTGAGGCTGGATTTCATACCCCCAACTCTAGATCAGACTATCTGGGATAACTTTGACGGGGATCGTGCTGTCGATATTGCTCCTGGTTTCGCCACGTCGGGGTGCAGATCACATGTTCTTCTGGCCGCCTGCCGCGAGAGTGAGACCGCCTTCGAAGAGAACGGTCACGGTGTATTTACGCGCGCACTCTTGAGTACTCTACGCTCAGTTGCGACGGACTCGATCACCTATCGCGAACTAGTCCAGCGCCTCCCCATTATCCCCGGGTTCGTCTCTCAGCTTCCTATACTGCGTGCGGTACTGACATATCTGGCAGTCAAACCCCCCAATGCGAGGGGCACAACGTAAATCGCCTGTTGTTCGATGCACTCGCACCCAGTAGAAGGCACATTGCCTACCTGGTTCATGAACGCGATGGGAAGTTTGTAATGAACGCCGGCGCATGTCAAGGCGTGTCTTATGGCGCTCGATTCTCTATCTCCAAGGATAGCCCTGTTCTGTCAAAGCGCCCCCCTATCTCGACTATCATGGTCGCGACCGCAGTGGAAACGCTCAGTACCGAATTATCTGGGTCCATTTTCACTCATCACCAGTCTGATCCTAGTGCTGTGTATTTTGCATGGCAAGTCTCGCCTGGCGATGCTGAAGTCCTTCGGCTACATGTTCCTGCGTTTGGAAGGCTGCCACGCGCTCTGAGAGGATTGTTCAAGGAACTCGGAAACTCAGAGGAGTTAGGTTGCCCCGTCCTTCTCTTGTCCGATGAGCGCCAGGCGTCAATAGGCGTGTCTATGTCCGGTTCCGTCGTCACATATCCGATCTATGACCCTCTCATCACATCGCTGGGCCTGCATAGACTATATGGAACGACTAAAGCGGACGTGCGATTCATTCACGCGGTCCTGCGCGGCGCCGCTCCCTTCTTTTGGAACTTGCACCGTTCGCCGGTGAAAAGCTCTATGAGCCGGAAGGTTATCGTACAGGTTCACGAATTACGTGTAGACGTGGGCGGATGTCTGGATGATGACTTGCGCCCGCCTTTCATACCGCACGGGGAGAATGTTCTGCGGTCGGGGACGGTCAATATCGTGGCGGATGACAAGACAATCTACGGAATGTCCCTTCGTAACAGTTTCGGGGTACCGTTACACGTTTCGGTGTTCTTCTTCGACTGTAGCGACCTTTCTGTCAGTGAGTAGACGTCCTTGTATCGTGCTATAAAGAGACTGACCCGATGTAGTAGATTACTACCAACCGCCGGCTATAGGAAAGAGTGGAGAAGCGTCTCTGCCAGCCGATGGCACCCTATCCATAGGGTATGGTGCCGATGGAGGCGTCCCGTTCAAGTTCCGCTTAAGGCCAGGCCAAGAGAGAGACGTCGGCTTCATCAAGGTTTTCATATCGACCGAGCCGGTGGACCTCTCTGGTGTCTTGCAGGCATCGGTCTTTGACACGTCAATGCCTCGTGGAACCTTCAGAGCCCAGGGCAGGTCGCGACATGCCTGGGACACTATACTCATACCCGTTGTACAGCATAAAGCACCATCGGGAGACCTTTGAGCTTTGCGCGGGGGGGGGG